ACTCTCTCTGCAGGGCTTTCCAGAGATGATTCCTCTCCCCAGACCCAAGAGATGGGTTAGTAGGCTTGGCATCATTTTTGTGCCTCTTTAGGGAGGAAGTGGGAATCAGGGATAAGGAAGCAACACCCAGTGAGTCAGAGAGCTTGCCGGAAACAGCTCCCCTTCTTTCACTGAACAGGGACGGTAGAGGAAGACAGAAAATTCTGCTCCCTCCACATCCCCTGGGAACGGAGTGGTAGGCTAGCCAGCAGGGAAGAGGCTGGGGGTGTGCAGTGGATGGTCTTAGGTGGGGACTGCTGCAGAAATGACTGGGAAAAGTATCAGCCATTTCAGTAGTCGGGAGGACTCCTGAGGCTCAAACCCAGGGAGAAGGCAAGACAGTGCTGTCTTAAAAGCTTGGACTCGGGTGGGCGATAACCAAGGTTGGAGCCCTTCCTCTGCTACTCAGCTCTGTGACTGTGGGCAAGTCAGTACCTATTCCCAGCCTCAGTTTACTCCTTTGTGTACCTGGAAATGACAACACCTCCTTTCTTTTGTCCAATGAGTCAATTTATGTGCATGCTTAGCACATAAATTTTGGCAGCTTCAAAAAGGAAGAACAAAGACAAAACTCAACCATTTATGGGAATGGAGATTCTGAAGAGCTGTATCCACAGATTCCAGCAGTTACAGGGAAAGGGAGTGATGGGCAGTCAGTGGGAGGCAGGACAGGAGGATGGCACTGGGATGGGGGAGTAGGAGATGCCAGTCTTTACAGCAGACTAGCCTGGCTGTGGGCCCCCAGGAGAACAGGGTGGGAATTTCCAAGGACCACTTGTCCTCACCAAGGGGCGGGAGGGGCGCCTAGTGGTAAGCAAAGTGTCTGCGCGAGCGTTTTGGCTGAGGCGGAGCAGCAAGAGGCTGAATGGGCGGCAGACTTCCAGAAGTGCAGACAGAGGAGACGGAGCAGTAATAATGACTTGGACACATGGGAGGAAAAAATAGCTCAGGGACGAAGTGGGATGCCAAGGTTTTTGGCCTTGGGAGGCTCACGGGGACTTGAGGTGAGCGCTGAGGATGAAGAGGAGAGATCCTAAAGGAACTGGGCAGGTAGTTAGGTGAGGAAAGGAAGCCAGAACTAAAGAACTGGGTGGATGATGGGGCAAGGAGTGGGAAGTGTGGAGCTGAGGCTTTCCCATAGCCGCAAAGGAGCAGAGTCTCAGGGAAAGCGCGGTGCTTTCTGGGAAGTGAGATGGCATTCATCCCAACACGCAAGTGTGGAATTCAAGGAGCTCCTGACGGCCAACCCTGCAGGCAGCAAACACATGGACTTGGACCAGGAACCATCACCAGGAACTCAGTTATTCTCTCTGAAAATGGGTCTAATGACACCAGCCTGCCCTTCTTGATGGGATTCTTCTGTGGTTCATTCAGTTAGCCATCCACTGAACACGTGTATTTCCTGGCTGTCTATGAGAGGCAAGCACTGTTCTAGGTTCTGAGGAAACAGTGGTGAGCCAGGCAGGCAAGATATCTATTCCTTTAGAGCTATCACTGTGGCTTGGGAAGTCAGACAATACTTTCATAGGTCATTGAACAGGATTTTTTTCTGTGGTCTTCAAACTTCTGCTGAAGCTGCAGAGGCTGGAACAATAAGACTGAATATTCTCACATGCCAAAGAGAAGTACTAGGCATCTTAGTAAAGGCAGAACCAGTTCAATAGCTATCAGGACATGTCCCTGGATCCCAGCCTATAAATAAAAAGGGACTGAAGAAAGTCACTGAGTCAGAGAACAGTTGCATTGGTAAGCAGGGCTGAGATTTCCCCTGAGGGTACTGCCCAAGCTAACCAAGTGAGGAAAACCAGTCATAAAGAGTGGGGGGCTCCAAAGAAGAATAAACTAGCTTGACTCTCCATAACTCTGCCTCCACTGATGCTAGCTGAGGTGCTAGAAGTTGCAAGCACCCCAAAGCACCAAGGCACAGCAAGAAAGTTCTTGGGAGAACCCAACCTATGTCTAGGAATTGGGGATGCACATAAAGGAAGCAAATTGCGCGCAGCCCTTATCTGGAGAATTCTGCCTGTGGAGCCTGGCTGGAGCGGCTCTTGTAGCAGGATGAGATGCAGCCAACTCAGCACTGGTTTGTTGGCAGGGACAGGAAAGTCCCGTGGCAGATAGGGGACACAGGGAAGTTATCCAGAGAGTGCTTTTTCTATGGTAGTGCAGGGCGGAGATCCTGCAGAGAGCTTCCCAAGAACACACAAATGTGCCCATGAACAAGCCAGAGAGCTGGGCACCTGCTAGCTAAGGGCACCTGTTATGTAGAACTTTACCACTTTCCCTCTAACACCTCTCCCCCAACCCTGACACTTGGAGGAGCCACTGCAGAAAAGGAAGGTCAGAAAATCAGGCCACACCCCACACTCCCCAGTACAGAGTCTTGAGCCAGGGGACAGGCCCGTGGCAGGAGAGGAGGGGTATTAAATTGGATACAAGATTGATTAAATTGGATGAGGTTTTGATTTGGACAGGACCAGACATTTTAGTGCCTGAAAAATTGGTCTTAATTATAGAAATGAAACTGTTTTTGTGACTGGTGGGGATGGGCAGCCAAGGACTCTGCTTGAGATGTCATTAAGGGTGGAGAAGAGAAATTCACCACAGTATGAATTGTGGCAGTGAGGGAAGAAAAACAGAACTGCTTCCTGCTTGTCCCTCTTCAAGTTCAGCCCATTCAATAAATCAATTATCCAGGCAAACAAATAAATAATTTCAACTAGCCTAGGGCAATGAAGGTGAAACAGGGTGATGTATGAGAAAGCAACGACTTGGGAGGTGGTCAGAAAGATACCCTGGAGAAGGAAATGGCTACCCACTCCCGTATTCTTGTCTGGAGAATTCCGTGGACAGAAAAGCCTGGTGGGCTACAGTCCATGTGGCTGCAAAGAGTTGGACAGGACTGAGTGTCTAACACTTCCACTTTTCACTTCACTGGGAGTAGGAAGGCTGTTGCTCTTAGGTTAGGGGGTCAGGGATGGCTGCTCCAGGAGGTGATGTTTGAGCTGAGACGTGAAATGGTGAGGAGCTGGTCCTGTAAAACATCTTGGAGATGAGTGTTTCAGGGAGAGGGAAGTGGGCATTAACTAGCCTGTTCAAGAAGCAGAGAGGAGAACAACATAGCGGCAATGTGGTGAGCTCTCCAGGCCAAGGTGAGCTACGTCAGGGAGGGGGCCAGTCCTGCTGGGCTTTGGAGCCCAGGGTCAAGAGTTGAGGCTTATTTTCAATATTAGATATTTACTGGGTCTGTCCTTTGTGTGGTGTGGGATGTTATAAACCGGTGTCTTCCAACCGGTGTTGGGTCTCTCTGCCTCTCAAGAAGCAGTGTGCTGTGTGTGTGTTTAATTCCTCAGTTGTGTCTGACTCTCTGCGATCCCATGGACTGTAGCCGGCCAGGTTCTTCTATCCATGGGGATTCTCCAGGCAAGAATACTGGAGTGGGTTGCCATGCCTGCCTCCAGGGGATCTTGCCAACCCAGGGATCGAACCCAGGTTTCCCGCACTGCGGGCAGATTCTTTACCATCTGAGCCACCAGGGGAAGCCCCAAGAAGCAGTAGGCTGCAGAAATGCAGGACGTGGGGGCAGGGATGGTTGCCAGGCCTTTAGAATTTAGGGCCGGGGACCACGGGGGTGAGTGAGGAGCTGATGGTTGGGGGGGGGGTAGTACTAAGATGGGTGGCCATTGGCATTCTAGCACCCCTGCCCTCTCGCTGCCGACACAGAAGATGTGCGCGCACACACTGCATCAGTCAGAAGCAATCCTGAGGGAGGGAAGGGTGGGGTGGGAGGCTAAGAAAGGGGATCTGAGCTCCAGGCTGCAGGACTGGATTTCATTCACCTCTTGCTCACACGCTGTCTCCTTAAGTGACCTTGTTCCAGATCCTCCATATTTATTCCTCGGTGAAAAAAAAAAAAAGGACACCTCTTGCGGGATCCGCCGCCATCACCGCCTCGGGCTTTTAGGCTCGACCCTGACGCAACAGGAAGCGGATTAAGATCAAGGAGTGAGGGCGGCCGGCGGCGGCAGGTCTGGACAAGCCGCGGGACGGCCAAGGACGCGGCCAGGTCCACCAGAGGGCGCCCGCCTCCAGACGACCCTCCCGCGCGCGCTCCCCGCGTCCCGCCGCGGCGGAGACAGGCGAGCTGCCCCGCGCTGCCTCGACTGCAGCCGCAGCCCCGGGCCGAAGCCCCCAGTGGCTCGGGCGGGAAGCGAAGGGTCCTGGGCCCGTCCTTCGGGTCCAATCTCTGGCATGCGGTTCTTGGTACCTCTCCCGACCTCCTTCAGACCTTCGAGGCTGCAGCCTTAGTCTTCCAACCATGCAGTTTGTCCTTGAGGTCAGGGGCGGGAGATCGATTCTGGACAGGTCGGCAGTTCAGCTTGCCCAGGACAGTAGAAAGGTGGCTCGGGTGCCCCTGTCCAGACAGTTGTCATCTCGCCTGCCAGCCTTTGCTCGGGTCGGCCCTGCGCCGCCCCCAGCTCCTCACGGGTTAACCCCCCTCGCCGCCCGCTCGCTTCCCGGTGCCAAAGTGGGTGTTGCTGGAATTCCTCTCTCTCCCTCTCCCGTAATAAGGGGGCTGAACTGTCCCTCCGAGGAGGGGGCACGGTGTGGATAAAAGAGACGAAAAATCAGGGGGAGGTTTCCAAAAATAAAACCCTCCAGTTCTCCTTCCGAAGGCTACAACGACCCGGAGAACGCGCGAAGGTGCAACAGCGGTGCGCGCCCAGCTGGAGACGCAGCGCGGCCTCTGGGCTCGGTGCGCGCAGCCCCCGGCCTCTCCTGCCGCCTGGCTCTGGCTCCAAGGAGAGCCTGGCCCGCAGTCTGACTCGGGGCGCCCTAGACGGGGAGAGGCGGGCCACCGGCAGGGGACCGGAGCGCAACCAGCGGGCGACGAGCGCACCGACTGTGAGCCCCGGGGGCCGTTCCCCGAGCGCGCGCAGCTCTCTAGGCGCCCCGGCGCCATGAGGCCCCCAACCACCGCCCGCTGCCCCGGGCCCGCCCTGCGGAACCCCTGGAGGAGCTTCTGGCCGCTCACCCTGGCTCTCTTCGTGGGCATGGGTCAGGCTCAGAGGGACCCAGTGGGAAGATACGAGCCGGCTGGAAGAGACGCGAGTCGGCTGCGGCGCCCCGGGGGCAGCCCCGTAGCGGCTACAGCCAAGGTGTACAGTCTGTTCCGGGAGCAAGACGCGCCCGTCCGGGGTTCGCCGCCCGCGGAGCTGGTCCAGCCTAGCTGGGGGAGCCCCAGGAGGTCCACCGAGGCGGAGGCCAGGAGGCCGCCCCGCGCGCAGCAGCCGCGGCGAGTCCAGCCACCTGCGCAGACTTGGAGAAGCCGACCCTCAGGCCAGCAGCAGTCCGCACCCCGGGCCCGGGCCGCGCCGGCTCTCCCGCGTCTCGGGACGGTGCAGCGGCCGCGGGCTGCGCGAGGGCGCCTTACGGGGTGAGCGCTGGAGAGGGAAGGGTGGGGGCTTGAGGGAGGGAGGGTCGGTCTCCCGAACACTCGTTCGTGGAGGGATGTGTAGACAAGAGGACAGTGCGGGGGCTCTGTCTGTCTCCCCTCTGTCCTTAATACTGCGGGAAACAGACCGAGGTCCCGAAGCTGGGGCTCTATCTGATCCGGTTTCAAAGAGTAGAGAGGAGAGGAACACCGTCTACACCTTTTCGTACCAGCTGTCGCCCAGGTCCGACGTCAAATCCTTTCCCAAGGCGGCAGTGCGTTCCGCCCGCGCTCCTCCCGTCCGCCTTAACCCGTGTCTGCTGACGCCTGCTGCCCGCAGCGGTGCGGGGATCCGAAGGGGATCGCGGAGAGGGCATCGGAGTGGGTGTTCCAGGCGCTTGAGAACCGGGAGAAGCTGAGCGGCCTTAGTGCGCGGTGGGCGGACGATGTCGCGGGGGGCGGGGGCGGTGGGGCAGGGGGTGCTCCAGAGCGCGAGGGCTGATGAATCTCCAGGAACGAGGCTTCGACGCCTGCTTGTGGGGACAAAGCTGTGCGTTGGGGCACAGGCCGGCCTGGGTCCACGGATGGCTGGACGAGGAAGTGGGCGGGGACTCGGGGGCACTTTGGGCAGGAAACCTGTCGCGGGTGTAGCTGTGACACTGTGGGTCCATGGCGGAGTGGGTCTGTGTGCGCGCCTGTGCAGCTAGGTGTCAGCTCGACTTTGCAGGGCTACGTGTCCCCTCAATCCTGCCATTTAGTCCCCCCGGCCCGCCCCGGATGCAACACCCGCTGCCTGCCGAGGGCGCTCTCGCGGCGTAGGGGACGCTTCCCACCATCCCCACCCCCAGATGAGGATTCTCACGGCTGCGAAGTGCTGGGCCGGCAGGAGTGGGACAGGTGTCTGCAGAATGGAGGGCGGGCGAGCCGGGGCAGTACGGGTGCCCAGTATGGGGCACCATCGGGGAGGCTGGGAAGAAACCTGGCGGCCCTTCTGGGCCTGGGCCCGATTTGCCAGTTGGGTTCAGTCCCCCGGCGCACAGCATGAAGGAAGCTACACCCCCAGGGCTACTCCTGAGGCTGTTCTTACTGCCTCTCCACTCCCTGTTTTCTTTGGCTGCAGCACTGTTCTCCTATATTTCAGCAGGATTCTCTCCCTTCATTCAAATCTCTGTTTAGAGAGGCCCCACCCTCTCTCTCTTCACCCTGCTTTGTGTTTCTTCATAGCACTAATTCCCATCTGACATATTATGTTTCTGCTTTTATGGTCTGGTCTCCCAGGGCACACTAATGTCAGCCCTAGGAAAAGAGAGGCTTTGTATTCTGCATTGCTGTGTCACCAGTGCCTAGAACAGTGCTCGGGTTTAGTTGAAGCTTGCTAAGTAACTGTTGAATGAGTGGAGGAATGTCTCACTGTCCGTGCAAGGCCCGGCTTAAGGCAGACGGAGAGGAGACCTGGGCACTGCCAAGTAGTTGACACAGAGGATCAGTCAGTGAGCGGTGACGGCTGTGCAACTGAATACATGCTTCCCAAAAGCAAGTGTGCCGAGCTAGGGACAGGGGCTGGGGCCCGAGACAGACCTTGTTCCTGCCGGGAGACCTGCTCAATTACTTCAAGTCAAATTGGAGAAATGAATACATATGCACTGGCCAACATGCTTCCTAGTACCAGAAGCTTCCTGTTAAAGCATAAAGGAAAGGATGATTGGGGCTGAGGTGCTCGGAGGAAAAAGGAGCCCTGTGAGCTCCAGCCCCTGGGGTTCATGTGGGGAAGAAAGTGGGGGTAGCAGGGGTAGCACCCCAAGATGTCGCACCGCCAGAGGACAGGGGCATTTTTTTTGTTTTTAATTGTGGGCGGTGGCCTAGGGGCAGGTCTGCACCTTGCTGTCAGGCAGCCACAGGGCTGAGGCTGGAGGCGTAGGTTTGGGCCAGATCATGGAGAGAGCTTACCCTATCAGCGTTCTGGTGGGAGTTGGGGGGAGGAGGAATAGTGGAGTGGAGGTGGGAGGGTGCACTATTAGCAGCTGTGAAAGGAGGTGGCGATGAGCAAAGCAGACTGTTACCAGGGTAAGGCTGGTAGGTGTGCACAGGTGTGTAAGTACCTGGGCTGGATGCCACCCACAAACACCTGCCAGACAGTGCACACATCATAGCACATGCTGGGCTGGACTCCTTCCCCAGGTTCTTTTCTGCAGCTTTGATAAAAGGTGGGTTCCTCAGGCACTCCAGCTAGCCACTCCAAGGCAACCGGGGAGGGGCTGAGTGGCAGTCTTCCATTGACTTCTTCTCCCTAAGTCCACTCTGACTAATGGCTTATGGCCAGGCTGACCTCTCTGGCAACTGCCTTGAGAATTGCTCAGGGCCAACCAGGTGGTGCTAGTGTTAAAGAACCCGCCTGCCAATGCAGGAGGCACCAGAGATGTGGTTTTGATCCTTTTGTCGGGAAGTTCCCCTGGAGCAGCGCATCTTGGAGAATCCCAGTACTCTTGCCTGGAGAATCCCATGGACACAGGAGCCTGGCGGGCTACAATCCATGGGGTAGAATTGACTGCAGGGACTAAGCTTGCATGCATGCAAGGACTAAGTGCCACCTGCTGGTAAATCTTGGAATTGCATCACTACTACTGGGGATTCTTCATTCATTCAACAAATATTTGGAAGGTCTCCTGTATGCCAGGCACTCTGCTGGACCATGGGGATACAGTAGTAGCCAAGACAGCCTCTGTCTTCGTGGAACTTGCCATGTAGTGGGAATTTATTGCACACAATGAAGATTTTAAGTGTGTGCCAGGCACAGCCCTAGGTGTCTGGGACACAGAGTAACCAGAGCAGAAACAATTCCTGCATTATTGAAATTTACAGTCCACAGGGGAGTTTTTAAGCCATTGTTTCCCAGTATTCAGTGTTTATTAAGCTTAGCCTCACAGCATACCACTTTCATAATATTTTCCTCTTTTTTTCCTTGTTCTGTTATTTTCTTTTTTCTTTTCTTTTTGTTATTTTCTTTAAATTTATAAACTGTTAAAAATAACAGGATTTTGTGTTTTATTTATTTTCAAGTGTTTTATATTATGGAGTTTTATACAAGCCTATAAACCTACAAAAGGTATTGGAAATAATACAACTAACAATCCAATTTTTTCAAACTTTAATATTTTGGCATAGTTCGCTTCTGATTTTTTTTAGTTGAAATATCTTCTGCAAGTTTGTCTCTTCTCTCCCCAGATATTAACCACTACCTTGAATTTACTAATGATGCCAACCTATGTTTTTATACCATTGCTACAGATGCGTGCATCCATAACATACATAACATTGTTTTGCATATTTTAGAAAAGTGATACCACGCTGCATTATTCTTCTACAATTTGCTTTCTCCTCATTAGATTTTTAAGATTTAACTAAGTTACTATAATCAGCCCAAGTTTATTCATTTTAATTGTTGGATATTATGCCATTGTCTGAATATACCACAGTTTATTTATCCATCCTTCTGTTTTTGGACAGTTAGATGAGTTACATATTTTGGTATTACAAACAGTGCATGACTCATTTTTTCTAAATAAATAAATCCATTTGCAAGGACACTTTGTATCACTATCCTAAGTTGAAGATAGTACCACTTGTCATAAAGAGAAGGTAACTATAGGAAAATTGAAATGAAAACAAAATGTTCTCCAAGTTTAGTCAGATACCATTATCGTAGGAAGTTCAGCCCTGTGGTGTGTTCTCCCTATTGGAAAGGGAGATTGGGGGGAGAGGACTTGGCACGAAGACCCAACCTTGGACGGAGATTTTTCCTCACTGATCTAATCAGACTAGAAACATCGCTAAAAAGGGAACCACTTTCTCCCTGTGTGATTCAGCATTGCTGCAAGTTCTGAGTATGGAAACCTCAAATCCCCTTTTCTGCCCTCAGTGTTGTCCATTCCCTTTTTGGGGAAACACTGGAGTCAGTGAAATGAAGAGGTATTAAAGGTGCACCACATGTCAGGCCCTGTGTTAGACTTTAGGGGCACAGAGAGGAAGAAGACCCCTTAAGGGACTCCACACGTACGCCAGCGGTCTGAGACGATCAGGACCACATGGTGTGGAGGCTGGAGAACGGAAGGCTGGGCAGACGTCAGGGGAGGGCTTACCCGAAGGAGGTGACGTTTGATCTGGAGCGTGCCAAGGATTTCAGCCGGCAAAGAAGAGAGGGAAGGCCATCTAGGCAGAGAGAGCAGCTTAAGCAAAGGCATCAAACGGTGCCCAAGTGTCGTACGGCAGCCGGGGGCTGGAGGGGGAGGAGGCGGGCCACAGACTGTATCATGGCTTTGGTTGTGGGTGGCTGTGGAGATAAGGGAGGGGTGGTGGGGGCGGTTAGACTACAGGCAGGTGGGGTCAGGTTGGCTTTGTAGAGACCAGTGGAGAGCCTGGCAGTGACTGTAACAAAGGACCAGTATGACCAGATTTGTTCCAGGTGGAACAGCAGCTGTCCTAGTCTGTTAGCCAGATGTGTTCCCAGAGGTTGGGCAGTGATGCTGGATATCGGGCTAATGTTTGCGGAGCGGCGCCACGTCGAAGGTTGGGCTTATAAAATTCTCTGAGTGGTATCTTCCAGAAAGCCAGGACCCCTGAGTCACTTGCCCCAGCTGGTCAGTCTCATCAGCTCTCTCCAGCTAACTGGAGCTCACTGAACAGTCATCTCCCATGAGGCACCTCCCGGAGCTTGCACCCAGGGCTCTGGCTGGTCTCCTGGATCTCTCTGGAAGGCCCTGTTAGCTGAGTGTGCCTCCCTTGCTTGGCAGCTTTGATTCTGACCAGTTCTCCTGGGGGCCCTGGCGGCCTTGAAGGCTCTGCGCTGGGCAGGCAGGCCAGGCCGAGCCACTGCCCTCCTACAGTCAGCTCTGTGGCCATTCCGAGGGCAGCTAGGGCGACAGCAGGCTCAGGGAGCCTCCTGGAGCCGGGCTCCACGCCACCACCTCTCGGCCGGGCAGACTCCTCAATCTATGCTCTCTGGGCTCCCCCGGATGCTAGGCTTTAGAAAACTCCCAGGGCTTGCTGCTGTTTTTCTTCTCAAAGACCTCCCAGGCCTCTCAGAGGCCATGTCACCACCACCAGGGGTAATGACTTACAAATGGGTGGGTTGTTCCCCCTCCCACCAGGGCACACAACTCAGAAGCCGGGGGTAGGAGGACCAGCCCTTTCTGCAGAACCCAGTGACTGACTGGGGCCCTGGTGGGGAGGAGGCCTTCAGGGAACCAGTAAACTGCTGAGGGAAGCCGTCCAGAGAGGCTTCGAGGTGGCCGAGATGGCACAGCCCTCGGCCGAGAGGACATTCTGCGAGCTCCCTGGGAGGCAGCTCCCCACAGCTTTGGGCCGAAGGGCCAGAAATGGGCCTCAGCATTTTCAAATGGCAGGAATTTATTTTGAATGTTTCGTAAGGTTTCAAAAACCACACCAGCTTTGGGGTCGACACAAACGTCAACCAAACTCTTAAGTGGGACCAGATGCCCCCACGCTGGCCACAGAGGTCACGGGAATGGCCTCCCGGTCAGCCCTTCACCCCGACTCTCGGACTCCATACCTCTGCCACCCTGCTTACCCTGTGTTTCAGTGAGTGCTTGGTAGACAATTTCTGATGGAAACCGTGGGATATGCGAGGCCAGAGCCAAGCCCAGTCTGAGCTGGGGAGGCAAGACCCCAGAGGTCTTCTCCAAGAAGAGCCCTCTGGGGAAGTCACCTGGGTCTGAGCATGTGGGTCTTTAGATTGACAGGCAGGGTGGGTGAAAGCTACTGGTGCTGAAGGGCCCCACTGGAAAGCAGAGGGCAGAGTTTGGGTGGACTGGGAGAATGGCCCTGGTGCTGGGGGAAGGACTATCCCCGCTTCAAGTAAGTTCCATCAGCCTACCCAAATAAAAAGTGTACTCGCCACGCAGAGCAGCTTATCCCGAGTCCCCGGCCCCATTGTCCCACCAGCCTGCCACCTCCTCAGCCCCTCTTAAAGGACATTCTGGAGCCTGGCTCTTTCCATCACCCTCCCAGTTGCTCGGTCTCACCCTGTACCAGCCTGCCTGAGTGCTAAGGCTCCTCCCAGTGTGCATTTGTTGGCAAGGGACACAGATGTAGGTCCTTAAGGCTGTTGTGTGTGTCTGTGTGTCTTCCAGCTTCCCTTGGATTATCAGCATTTGTTGGCAAGGGCCATGGTGATTATTTTTTGGTGAGAGGCCACGTGGAGTTGGAGCATGACTTTGAGTTGGGTCAACCTAGGTTTGAGTCTGGCTCTGACACTTCTTGTTTAGCCTTGGCAAGGGACTGAGCCACTCTGAACTTGCTTTTTGGTCATCTTTGTGATCCCCGTGGCAGTGGACTGTCTTCTCATGTCAGGGGCTCTATATCTTGTTGTATATCCTATCTTGTTGAATCCTCCCAACAACCCCATGAGGCAGGTATTATTATCTGCCTTGTACAGATGACGACAGTGATGCTTCCCAAGGTCGTGCCGCCAGTGGCAGAATCAGGATTCCATCTTAGTGCCCACCCCTGGGCCACGCGGCCTCCCTCGAGAAGGGGGACAGTGCCCAGCCTGACTTCCCCCAGGCCCTGCCTGTAGAAGGCAGGACCATCAGACATTAAGCTCTGTGAATAATCCTGCTCTGAGCATACCACGCTGACCCTGTCTTGGTGGCTCCACAGGAGGAATGTCTGCGGGGGACAGTGCTGCCCGGGATGGACAACGGCAAACAGCACCAACCACTGTATCAAACGTGAGTGCCTCCGCCCCATCCACCCTCTCTCCCTCTCTCTCTCTCTCCGTTGAGCTGGGTCGGGTGTGGCATCTCTGGAACCTGGAGCACGTGTTTTCCCCAACTCACCTCCAGAGCAGGCAGCCCCTCTCTAGCGGGAAGCAGTGGAAGGGAGGAGGCGAAAAAGTGCCTCCAGGGAATTCCTCTGTAGGACTCTGTGCTTTCACTGCTGAAGGACCGGGTTCAATCCTTGGTCGGGAAACTAAGCTCCCGCAAGCTGCATGGCAAAAAAAAAAAAAAATGCCTCCTGATGACTGAACTGAAAATGACTTCTCAGATAAATCCCTGCTTGTGTTTATAAAGCTTCCTGTATGCCTCTTCTGATGTTCCCCTGTGTTGGGGCTCACCCCTAACCTGCCCTGGGGTCTGCAGAACACACCTGGCCCCAGAGCCTCTGCATCCTACATTCTGTGGGAAGAGGGTACTCACAATGCATGCTGTGGGGATCCACCTCTGCTCTGGCCCCTGGCCTCTGGTGGGCATTCTACCAGCACGGTCAGATGAGTCTCTGGTTCTGTGTCTGGGGCAGTCTTCCTTTGGACCTCCTCGAAGCCTGGCAGGCTGGCCCAGTTTAGGAAATATACCACCCACCTGACTGCTCCCTCTATTACCCCAGCACCATTAGCCTCTCCTACCATCGTTACTACTACAGCTGTTGCTGCTTCTACTGCTGCTATCACTGTACTACCCACACCCCCAGCACTGACGCCGCAACAGTGACGAGCACTGCTGCTACTACTAGCTAACAGCTGGGGACTTACTATATGCCCGACGCTGTGCTAAGCTCTTCACATGCATCATCTTACTTGAGTCTCTCAGTCCCGTAACGTGAGAGTTTACTGTTCATCCCGCTTACAGCCTAGGACACTGAGGCTCAGGTTGGTTAAGAAACGTGTCCGAGGAGACAGCACTCTGAGTCTGGCTCAGGAGGCAGACTCTAGGCAGTCTGACCCGGAACCGCGTACTCTTACCTATGGGGCTTTGCTTTCTCCCGATACACAGTTTAGGGCCTTCTGGACTCTGGGAGCCCCACAGGTGATGACTGGGTGGTCTTAGAGAGCTTGGATCTTCCTCCCGCACACCCCGGGGCCCCTCTCGAGCCTTCATCAGCACCACACCCCCCGCTCCGGTGTTTGTGGCAGTACCAGGAGCTCTGCCCAGCTGTTCCTCCTGGATCCGATTCTACCCTCTGCCTTAAGCCTGTCTACAAAGCCCTAGTCTCACCAGCACCCCTTCCCACCCAAGGACAAGCCCTAGGCCCTTTCCAGTGTGAGTTTCACAGCTAGTGGTCCAGCAGGGTGATGAAACCTATGGTGTTCCTGTCCCTGATGGATGCCCTCATTTCTGGTCTCCTGATGCCTTCTGAGACGGGGATAGACAGGGATGCAATGGGGTTGCTTCCATTCCTTAGTAAGCCGACCTAAGCTTTCAGTTCTGCCTCTGACCTCGTGGCCTTGACCCTCTCCCAGTCTGATGATGAAGCCTGGGCAGAATCTTGGGTCTCTCTGAGGATCTCCAGATAAAGAAGGCAAAACTCCAAACTCAGAAACAAACAGCAAAGCAGACTTCTACCTGAAAATTCTTTCCTTTTTGGGGAACCTGGATTAGTGGGGCTTGCAGAGGCTAGGTACTCGGTGACTAGGGGCACAGTTGGGGGAGGGACTGCTCTTCATAACTTGAACGATAAGGACCGTGTGCCTCAGATGACTTGCTCAAGGTCACATAGCTCCTTAGTAGAGGATCTGGGACCTGAAATCGGTGACTCCCCTGGGCAGAGAAGCCAAGGATGTGGGTAGCTCAGTAAGTTTACAGCCAGGAGAAGCTCTGGGGCTGGGGGCTGGACACTGGTATGTTATTAAAGTTCCGTAGGTGATTCTAGCCAGGGCTGAAGGCTGCTAAGCAGAGTTTGGGGTCAGTCATGGAAAGATCTGCCTTGGGGAGCCCTACTCAAATTTGAATGTTCCCATGAATCCTCTGTTATTCAGTTGCTCACTTGTGTCTGACTCTTTGTGACCCCATGGACTGCAGCACAGCAGGCTTCCCTGTCCTTCACCATCTCCCGGAGCTTGCTCAAATTCATGTCCACTGAGTCACTGATACCATCCAACCATCTCATTCCCTGTTGCCCCCTTCTTCTCCTGCCCTCAATCTTTCCCAGCATTAGGGTCTTTTCCAGTGACTTGGCTCTTTGCACCAGATAGCCAAAGTATTGGAGCTTCAACTTCAGCATCAGTCCTTCCAATGAATATTCAGTGTTGATTTCCTTTAGGATTAACTGGTTTGATCTCCTTGCAGTCCAAGGGACTCTCAGCAGTCTTCTCCAGCACCACAATTCAAAAGCATCAGTTCTTTGGTATTCAGCCTTCTTTATGGTCCAACTCTCACATCCATACATGACTACTGGAAAAACCATGGCTTTGACTGTATGGACCTTTATCAACAAAGTGATGTCTCTCCTTTTTAATATGCTGTCTAGGTTTGTCATAGCTTTCCTTCCAAGGAGCAAACATTGCTTAATTTAATGGCTACAGTCACCATCCACAGCAATTTTGGAGCCCAAGAAAATAAATTTGTCACTTCTACTTTTTCCCTTTCTATTTTGCCATTAAGTGATAGGGCTGGATACCATGATCTTAGTTTTTTTGAATGTTGAGTTTTGAGCCAGCTTTTTCACTCTCCTTTGGGATCTTATTAAAGTGTAGACTGTGACTCAGCAGGTCTGGGGTGAGGCTGGAGAGTCTGTTTCTAACAAGCTCCTAGAGGATGCTGATGCTGCTGGTCCTCGGACCACACTTTGAGTAGCAAGCCGTGGGGGGCTGTCTGGAGGCCTGGGGAGGGATTTGGGGCTAGAGATGAGGAGGAGGGCTCGTAAGTTCTAGGGAGCTCAGGAGAGTGTTGCTGAGGTTTGAAAAGTTGGGGAGGCTGGCTTCAGAGTGGGTGGCCTTCTCCCTAGCTGCCTGAGGGTCTGGGCATGAGCCTTGCTCAGGCCTGAAGGCTCTCGATTTCCTGACTTGCTCATGACTTTCCAGCATCATTCTCTGCCAATCTGGAGTTTCAACATTGGAAACTCGAGGTTGGGTGAGTCTGCTGATTGTCAGAACTGACGTGTGTGTGCACCCTTGCGCCCTGAGCAGGGGGCAGCTGCTCCAGTGTGCCGTCAGTACCCACTCCACCCTGGGGGTCCTCAGCCCTGTTATTTCTCTCCCCGGTCTTCTGCTGCCCCTCCAGGTGTCTCTGGGACTCTGGCATGCAGGCTGGCAGTGCTCCGGGAGGACATTGCCAGTGGGTGTTAGCCTCTCCCACTGGAAGTCGACTTGCCCACTGAAGGTCTGTGTACTAATTAGCTGGGCCCAGTGCTGTTTGCTTGTTGCTATTTTGCTGCTAATGAGCCTAATGAGAACCACGTGGATGGCGGGGTGTTGGCCTGGATGGCTGGGTCCGAAGCTCTGTCAAGTATGGGCTCTTGCTTCCACGCCCTGTCAGCTGGCAGTCCTGCTTCCTCTGTGTGGTTTGCGTCTCCCTATCCCCTCCCCACGCTATACTCCCCTGGCTGGAGCCAATGCTGCCAGTCCTGGGGAGTGCTCATGACTCTGGTCTAGTGGTTTCACAGATGTGGGGTGCCTCTCCCGGTCTGGCAAGGTTGGGGTGACAGGGAGGGGTGTGTGACATTCCCCCAACTGCCAAGTCTAGTCTCAGAAGGGTGCAGGGAGTCAGTCCACCCCTGGTCTCTCCCAGATACCTGTGGGTCCAGCCCACTGCCCACGGGCAGGGAGTGATGGCCTTTGTGTCCTGGGTCTCCCCCGACCCCCTGCTTGCCTCCTCTCACGGAATCCTAGGTTGCCGTAACATACCGGCCATCTCCCCGGCAGCCTCTCTCTTTATTTCTGTCTGGTCCCTGGGCCTCGGCGTCTGCAGGTGTCCGTTGCTGGAAGCCCAGCTGCTCTCCACAGCCTGGCGGGGTCTGGAGCTGGGCCCTCGTCTCCTCCTCTGGTCTTGGTCTCCTCCTTCCCTTCTGTGGCTTTGCCAGCCCTGCCACACAATTTATGTGTTTATGTATTTGTGCAGGCAGCTCGCTGGGGCCTGCTGGCTGGCTCGGCTGAGGCGAAGGGCTGCAGGGTGTGGGGAGGCTGGATCCTGTTTGGAGTTAGGGCTTTTGGAAGACTGTCCAGTCTTCCCAGACTGACTCACCCCAATACACACACAGCCTTTGCAGGGGCTTCTAAAGTCTCATCCTGGGAAGAAGATTTGAAGAATTCTCTGGCTTCTCCTTTTATCTCAGCCTAGAGGCACAGGGGCCGGGGCTGTTCTGGGGAAGGCAGAAGGCTCTTGGGGAAGGAGCTAGGAGGGTTACCACCCCCACGCCCCCACCAGGAGTAAGGCACAGTGAGAACATATACTTTAGATTCCGGTGCCAGATTCAAGGAGTCATGGCTTTGAATTCCAGCTCTGTGTCCTCAAGCAAGTGCCTGGCCCTCTCCCAGCCCCAGAGCCTCACCCAGTAAGTGAGTATAACACCTCACCCAATAAGTGGGTATAACAGTCTCTATAGAGCTGCTTCTAATAATAGTAGCACACTCAAGCTCTTAACGAGGGTCAGAACTTAATTTTTAATTTTTAACCCTGACAACAACCCTCCTGTAAACCAGATTTGATCTTTATCCCCATTTACAGATGAGGTTAACTCTTTGTCCAAGTCATGCAGCTGGGACTCTGCAGAGCCTGGGTGTGAATTTAGGTAGCCTAGTCCAGAGAACAGGGCTTGACACCACGCTCCTGGGAAATGAGTGAGTGTGTGTAGAGAGCCTGGCACGGGGTAACTTTGGCTGTGATCTTAATCTCAATTCAGGAGGCTATGCTGCCTGCCTGGGTTTAAATGCCAGCTCCATAGCTTAGCTTCAAGACCTTGGGCAAGATGTTTAAGCTCTCTGTGCCTCAATTTCTTTTTCTGTAAAATATGACTA